TCGCAGGCGCACAGATGAGCAACGCAAGCACTTATCACATTTTGTTTACGTACCTGGGGCCATGTCCCACTAGCAGCATTGAGCTACCTCAAGGCCTGAATATGGACGTGTTTGTGGAGACTTGCAGTTCAGAAAACTCAACACCATTTCTGCGCATCTCCGCAAAAGCGTCCAGATTCAGGCGTTGAGGTAGCTTAACACTGCTAGTGGGACTTAGCCCCCGGGGTTGCCCGGTTTTCGCGGGGGAGTCGCATTCGTTCGGAAAAGCTATGCCTGGGTGGCCGGACACACCTGGCCCGGGCCAAGTCTCACAAGCAGCGTTGAGATGGACCACTGATCAGAACAGATACCACACTTTTATCTTACTCAGCCAAAAGGCTGAGAAAGGTATACCCACACATATGTTTAAGCTTGTTGTGAATGGTTGTAGCTGGACCCATGACATTGTGTAGATCTTGAGTTACCGACGGCCTGATGAGATAGTCATTGACGCAGAGTGGGTCCTCGTCCCAGATTGGGGACAGGTCTAACCTAAAAGGTAACGGGAGCCAGTCTATCTCTGGCAGCTGGCAGGTCAGGATGTGTGTGTGTGTGTGTGTGTGTGTGTGTGTGTGTGTGTGTGTGTGTCCACACCCTATAGCCTTGCACAGTGTGGAGAAGCCGCTGAATGGCAAAAACTTAGGCCTGGACCCCCCTGGCCGGCGCCTGGAAAAGGTGGCTGGCCGCAAAATGCTGGCCAATGTAGGTGGACAGTTTTTGGCACGTTTCTGCGCGACTCCACCGTAGCAGTCGGGGTTTTGGAAACGGCCAGGCTTGCCGCATTAGGAAACCGGAGAGGGGCCCCTCCCTAAAAGGAAAGTATGGATGGGCTGCATGGACCAGCGGACATGGTAGGCTCTCGGGTCGGTTTGTCCGTGTGTGGCGTCGCACACCGTTACCGGCACCGTGCGACGGTGTTCAGAGTCCCGGTGCGGCGTCCCAGCAGGGGAGGCAACGGGCGCACCAACAGCAATTTTTTTTCGGTGCCGTTGCCGGTGTCCCTCTCCGGTAAATAAAAAACTGGCGCCTTGCCAACGGAAGATCGTCGTTCAGGTCCAGCCTTCCCGCAGTTGTCCTGTGGCCGCCTATGGTGCCGCCTATCCACCCGTTGGTAGTCGGGCATCCCTCGCGGCGTGCCAATCCGTGGGGTTTACCATCAACGGTGCGACACTGGGGTGCCATAGCCAAAGGTGGCGGTTGCTGTGACTGTCGCCGTCCGGACGTTGTACTGCGTCGAAGGCCATGGATGGGTCAGGAGGACGGGTGCTTAACGAAAACTGCGAGCATGCAATGTTGATGATGTTTTTTTTTATTCTTCAATGGGTGAACAGACGGAACATGGCAGCCATGGCGGTCGTGGAGGCAGTGTCGGTGATGCCTTTCCTCTTCCAAAACGTCTCCGCTGTGGTTACACTTCTTGCGCGGGGGATGTTGCACGGTTTTGCACTGGGGTCGTTGGCGGTGGAGGAGATGGGAAGGACAATCGACTGCCAACGCCGTCTGTGGGTGTTGGAGCGCAGTGGCAGTGTGTGGAAGGACCTCCAGCGAGTGGGGGCTGAGCAAGATAAGGTCTTCTTGCATTTTTGCAGACTCCCATTCCCTCTCTTCTTTGAAGTTGTAGGTCATATCAGCCCGCATATCCAACGCTCGCCTACAAATTTCAGATTGCCGATACCTGCCGGTCAGAAGTTTGCATGCACGCTGATCAGGTGGGCGACCGGTGGCTATTACAGGCAGTCCTCCCATGGATTGGCTATGGGGCTAGCGAGTGCTTTGCACAGCAACGAGGAAACAGCTGATGCCATCATCCGAGAGTACGGTCATCTGCTATGATTCCCTACAGGACAGCGGTTGGTGGACGCGCAGAACGCCTTCGAGAGAAAGGCTTCCCCGACTGTGTAAGCGCAATAGATTGCACACATTTGTACATCGAGAAGCCGAAGGACACACAATCAGAGTGCTACTACCACCACACTGGGGGGGTTCTCTGTTGTGGCGCAGGTCGTGTGCGACCACAAGTGCCGTATCGTCAGTGTTTTCGTGGGCTGCTCAGGGTCTGTGCACGATTGCAGAGCTCTATGTATCTCGCCGCTGTTCCAGAACGCCACGGAGGGCAGAGGAGTGTTGAGTGAGGGAGGTGCCATACTGCACGACGACAGACATATTGGGCGGTATTTGCTAGGTGATCAAGGCTACCCCCACTTCTGCCATGGCTCATGACTCGTTTTGGCCGGTTTGCTAAAACGGCGGCGGATCGGGCGTTCGACGAGAGTGACAGTGCATCGAGGTCGTGCATAGAGCGGCCGTTTGGCCGTTTGAAAGCGGTGTGGAGGAACTTCATTCGACGACACATTTGCAACCTAAAGACCATTTGCAAGGAGTTCATGACCGTGTGCATTCTCCACAAACTCATGATAGAGCAGAACGTGCCAATCGGCCCGGCGTTTATGGAAGACAATAGTGATAGTGATGGAGATGACGTCGGTGACGGCAACCGTCGGCCACAACAGCGCCGGCCTCGATTCAACCGTCATCTTCCGGACTTGAACATCGACGCTGTCCCAGAGGACGACCCCACTTATGGCGGTGACCTTGCGAAACACGTGAGGGACAGTTTGGTTCAGCACGTGCGTCACCACGTGGCAGTCCACGGTGCGCTGCCGCCATGCCCCCAGCGGTAGTGGAGCTGCGTTCGGAAGGAAATGTGGTGTGACCATGTGAGGCAACGTAGTTGGAGTCTTGGAGAGGGTGTGAGGTTCGGAGAGGAGGTTAAAGGGGGATGATGGTCGGTCGAAGGGTGGGTGGGAGTTTATATAATTTAGGTGGTAGCGCCACCGCTCGTTTCAACATCCTGTTTCATGTATATGACGATGAATTCCGAATTGGCACACGAAAATTAGTGTCCCGATGGTATGTTTTTTTGTGTTCTTCATGGCGAATTCATGTGTGTGTGTTTCATAATGTTCATTTTTTTTTCCTACTTTGTAAATCCGCGTACCGTTCTTTGTCTTTCCGTTCTCAAATTCGTGTCCGTTCCCTACAGTGCGCTTCACCTAATCCACGCTTCATGTATTATAACACGTGTATGCACTGCACATGTCTGGTTACAGATAGCACTGGCCGGTAACAAACGTGTACAATCTCTGCATATTGTATGTCGATATACACGTAAATATAAAACTTCATCAACAAATATGAACCATCAATATAGCGAAATGTACAGAGCACAAACGACAACACATCTTTTCATTGATGAAATGTGTTCCATAGGAGTGAACTGAAGAGATTAGGCGGGGTCGCTGATGACACCGGCGTTGTCGATGCAGAGGACGGCATAGGTGGCGGCAACTATGATGATGACGTCGATGATGAGGGTTCTCATCATCGACGTCATCATCATCATCGTTGGCGCCACCTCTGCTGTCCTCTGTGTCGCCAACGTCGGCGCCATCAGCGACCCTGCCTAACCTCTTTGGAAACAAATCCTTTTCGCCACATGCGGGGTATCATGAAACCTCTATTCAAACGACGTCCAAAAAAAAAAACAAAGATAACCAAATTCGGGAAAAAACACAGACATTAGTATCGGTTAAAACCTCTCGGAGTCCCTCGTTTCGCCACAAAAGAAAAAAAAAAAAAAAAGAGGAAGGGAATGCATTCTCCGTGAGTGCACACATGTCGGGAAAGTATGACAGTCGAGAAGAAAAACAGAATTGCGCACATCATGACACCAAAACCAAAAGGTTGATGAGTTCGCAGTTCAAGAACAATGTGAGCGTCGTCCACGTGGGCATTGATTGCTTCCTCTTGCAGAGGGATTGACCCGCGCGGACGGCATCATCATCATCATCATCATCATCATCATCATCATCACCATCACCATCATCGTCATCGCTCCTCTCACTTCTCACGCCGGAAGCTCTCTCTCTCTCTCTCTCTCTCTCTCTCTCTCTCTCTCTCTCTCTCTCTCTCTCTCTCTCTCTC